AAACAAAAACAAAAACAAAAAGCATGGAACCAAGCAGGTTACAAAATTTAGATGCTTCAGGATACTGAAATGCTTGTGCCTTCACAGGACTGTCTCAGTGTGGAGGTACCAGAGGAGACCCTAGAGGCAGCAGGAGCTGCCTCTATCATGAATTCAGTTGACTGCTCTTTGATCATTCTCCCATGATAATGCAGCCTTGCCAGGCTATGGAGGAAAGGATCCAGGCACTCCTGATGAGACTTAACAGGCTATGGGAAGATGACAATAGTGGAGAACTCCCTCTTTAGGGGGAAGAAGGAAGGAGGGTAGCACTGGAGGGAGTTGAGGGAGGGGCCTTCAATCAGGACATATAATGAAGAAATTGTGAAAAAAAATATAAAAATAATTAAATAAAAACAACAACAAAAAAGAAATCTCCTTCCTAAGTTTCTGTCAGACCAGCAACTAGAAAACAGATGCTCATAGCTCATTCATTTTCAGAAAAGCTAACAAGTGTGCTCTCTCTCTCTCTCTCTCTCTCTCTCTCTCTCTCTCTCCCTCTAGGGAACCGGAACTGACTCTGGTAGAAATGATTGGTGGTACACTCAGGAAAGAAAAAGTCCACTGGGTATAATTAAATGCTATTTTGTGAATTTGTATGTTTGTGACGTGTGTGTATCTGTGTATCCATGTGCATGTTTGAATGTTTATGGACTCACATGCTTATGGTTGTATGTGTATTCATGTATGTGTGGAGGCCAAAGGTTGACATTTGATGTCTTCCTCAACTGCTCTCTAGCTTATATAGTGAGCTAGGATCTCTCACTTGAATCCAGTGTTCTCCTACTGGGCTAGTCTAGCTAGGCAGATTGCTTTGGAAATGCCCTATCTCCAGCTTCCATATGCCGGAATTGCAAGCAGGCTGCCACAGTAAATTGGCATTTATTTGGATGATGAGTATACAGACCCTGATACTCACATTTGCTTTGGAGGTACTGTTTCCTGTTGAGCCACCTCCTCAGCCTCCCATATGCTCTTTGGCAACCACTTTAAAGATATTTAAGTTGTTATTTCTCAAAATACAACAAGATAAAGGTTTAGTTACATTGCCACACCAAAAATCTTAAACATAGTTTTCTTAGTCTGTATGTTATTCTCCCACTTCATATAGAACAGGACATGGAGACAGAATAATTAAGAAATAGATTTATAGTGAATTATTCTATGAAAATCATAAAGTACATGTGGGATGATTTGTTTCAGGAGTCATCAATGATGAGTAACATTTGCAGAAGTTAAGAGGATACAAAATAAACAATTGGTCCTATTAGTTGTCACTAACTCAAAAAGGCACTCTATAATTCCTTTGAAGTAAAGCTGTTCGGTAGTAGTTTATGACTCTGAAGGAGTACATTATTGGGCTTGGGTTGAGTTGGGTGGTGACTGTTACATTTCGGACAACACCTTTCTCTATGTTGTCTATGCATCTTTCTAGAGAAAAGATAAATATTGTTTAGATTTCTCAAATAGTACTGTAATGTTAACGTGACATGAAACCTTGCTATTGATGATGGGGCTAGTCTATTGTAATCCGTAGGGAGACACCAGATGACAGAAGAAACATTAAGGTGTATCTTCTAGTTTCATTATTACAAATGTTTGAAAGGTAGCTGGTTGACTTATTACATGAAGGATATTCTTTCATATGATTGCCTAAAAATATGTGTAAAAGGACTATGAAAAGAAAATAATTTTTATGACATTGCATATAGCCTTCAAGAAACTTCTGTTTTGCCTTTAGGCAATAGGTAAAATATATTAGTCTTTCTATTCCATGCTATATCATGTGGTTGGATATCCACAGAATTACTTTAACCCATAGAATGGCATGTTTATTGAGTGTTTTTAGCTTTATTCATGGGTGACATGAATATGCCATTAATCTTGGTGGCCATGAACAATATCATGATATGTAGAACTGTGTAATTACTGAAAGTTCAGAGTTGTAGACTATTTATATGAGTACAAAATCTTATTTGGTATGTTATTCTGTTCAACTTTATAATTCTTCTTGCCTATGAAGCAGGATGGTAGTAATGTTATCTGCTGCATGGTTTTGTTTTAGAATTAAATAATAACCCATTTGTTAAGTACATAGAACAGTTTTTGTCTCCTTGTAAGATCTATTCTATTTTAAAAATAAGATTTTGTTCTAAGAGTACATATTGGTAAAAAAAAGTTTCATTCATTTAGTTGGGATTTTTTTGCTCTCCATCTATACAGTTATCCAACACTATGTCCATTTATTAAGTCCATGAGTCTCTCTCTGTCCCTAACATTTATGGTTTCAGTTGGATAAAAATAATGAAAAGTACTTTCAGATGCAAAACCAGATGTGGTTCAAAATACCATGCTTGTTTAAACACTTGGAATGCTAGCATAGGTTTTATGGGTCAGGGGAAGATGCCAATTAGGATTATGAAAGTTCTATAAAATAAAAAGGACACTACCAAGATCTCAAGACAAAAAAAGGTGTGGGGAGGGGGTGCACTCAGGACACTTTACCACGCCAGAGATTTGACCGCAGAACTATTTGACTTTGAAGATTCCTCACTGATGTCCTCTTCCTAGGTGGCTCTAGATTGTGCCACGTTGACAATTAAAATGAGCCATCTGTAGCAGTTTGAATAAGAAATGTCTGACATTGTCTCATGTACTTGAATACTTGTTGGTACTGTTTGACGTAGAGATGGGACTTTTAGAAGGTAGAGTTTTGGTGCGGAAATATTTTACTGCGGCAAGCTTTGAAGGTTTGTAGTCTTAGTCTTGGCACCAAATTCTGTACTTTAATGTTGTGATAAAACACTGAACAAACTCAAATAAAGGATTTACATTTGACTTATATTTCTAATGTGACAAAACCATCGACTAGTGTAAACAGAGAATAGCCTTGTAGGACCCAGAAGATAGTAGAATTCGTAATAGTGAAAATATTAGATACCTGACTCATGAAACATCAGAGGGAACAAGAACTCTATTAGCAACCTGACAAGAAAGAATCTGGTTTCATAATACCTGCATCCCATGTAAAGGTGAATTTAAAAGTAACAGACTAGATTTTTGTTGGAGGAAATTTCAAGAAAGCATAAGGTTGTGTCTGTGGTATGGTTATTATTGATTACTCACAGGAAGAGTAAGAAGTGAGGAAGAAAATGAAAAATGTAAATTTTGGAGAGAAGCATAGCAATAGGAAGCTTAAAGTTATAGTCAAGTCATGCTACAAAGAAGCCATTGTTCTTTAGTTAGTTAGTTTGTTTGTTTTTTGTTTTGCTTTGTTTTTGAGACAAGGTTTCTCTGTGTAACCTTGGATGTCCTGGAATAGCTCTGTAGAACACACTGGCCTCAAACCAATATGATGGTGATACCAGGGCTGTGAGACATCTGCCATGTCACTAGACTGAATCTAGGGAGTGCAATCATTGCAAGAGAAATGTTTTAGACTTTTGAATAGTGCTGAGACTGTTAAAAGCTATGACAAAATTTGAAGTTAGATGAAATTAAATTAATACCATGTAGTTGTCATGGCCCTATGGGAACAAGGGGTGGACTGGGGTAGTTTGAATGTTTTATGTCCCAAGTAGTCACATGTATTTGGACACTTGATTTCTAATTGAGAGCATTACTCAGGTTGCTGGATGGAGTATGTCACTGAGTGAGAAGGTTTCCTCCCCCACCCCCGCTCCTTTTTGTTTGTGGTTAGGATGAGATCGACCACCGCCTACTGCTGCCACCATTCTTTCTCTGAGTTTTGTTGTGCCTTCTCAATCGTAATGGACTCGATCCCTCTGAAATAGTAAATCAACGTAAACTCTTTCTTCCTTAAGTTGACTTGGCAGAGTACCTTATCGTAGCAACAGAATGTCCTATCACAAGTTCCATGGCACCACAATTTTCCTAAAACTGAAATCCCATTGGACATTTTTGTCTTCATTGATTATTGCACTATGTTATTTTTGTAACTCCATCACTGGGATTTCTCCACTATTTTATCCTTCTAAGTATGAGCATATCAGCAGTCTTCAGGCTGAAATACCATTTTCTTTACTATTATTTTACTTGGAGTTCACCAAAGTAAAATAATAAATAAGTGATTGAGTAGATAAACATTGGGTATTTGCTAGATGCAGATACTTCAGAGAGACTTTTAATGACTGATTGGTTGTGGGATTCTGGATGCTGAACATGTCATGATCTGCTGTCTGCACACTGAACAACAAAGCTGAGACATAAATACAGGTCTGAGGGCAGAAGAAATACAATGTCCTAGTTCAGTAGTGAGGCAGAAAAATAGAGGAAGTTCTCTCCAACTCCATGTATTCAGGTCTTTGGAGAGGAAGACGGGCAGGGTGAGGACCATATACATTGGAGATGTTGGTCCACTTTACCAAGTTTAGAGAGGACAGAGCTAATGAACTATGAATCCTTCCATAGACACATCCTGAGATAGCATTTTATGTAGACATCTCTTGGTCTACTCAAATTGGTGTAAAATTAACCATCATTTTGCCAATCTTTCAGGTGTCTTATAAACCAGAAGTTTATACATAGATGCAAAAGTTTATATTTTTATATTTTTCATGAATATTTAAACACCTAACCATTACTATATATGTCCTTTTTCCCGGTACCTTAAATGTGCCCCTCACAACAGGCTATACCTCTCCACCCTTGAGTCTCCAGTTCCATCTCTCCTTATAATACTCAAGCTGCTCCACCTCTCTTTATCTTCCATATGTCCACAACATATTTGCACATTGTAGTGGCTCCCATTGCAGACTGGCCAGGAGCTGGCAGGCCCCTGGGTGACATCCTTCTTCTATGCTTCATAGTGTGGTGACAAGCAGGTGCCTATCCCCACCTGTCCCATGGGCAAGAACATAGTTCTGTGGGTAGCACGGTGGTCCTCAGGTCTCTGTCCTCCTCCTTTGCTTCAGCTGCCTGGATTAGACTTGATTTGATTTTTATGTGTCCTTTGAATAAAAAAGCTTTGGCCACCAAGCCAGGCATCAAGTTAAGCTGAACAGAGGACTGCCATCTGCTCCATCCCTGGCTGATAGAAGAACACCAGCACCAACAAGGTGTCTCTACCCATTGCCAGGGAGGCTTATAACTTTTCTTAAAGTCATAAATTCACTTTACAGTTGAAACATTTACAGGTTATTTTCTTCTTTCCTCACTTCTGCCTCCCCTTCCCCCAAAAAGCATTATAGATAATGCCATATAAGAGAATTCATGCAATACTTTTAAGCCCTGATTTTTTTTTTTTTTTTTTTTTTTTTTTTTTTTTTGTCAATCTCTATTTACTTAGTAGCAGAACAGCTGACCATAGAGGCTTTCTTTGGATTATTGGGTCAGATTTTCTTTCAGATATAATTGAATCATCTTTATCTCTTACTCCAGAAAATGGCAGACCCAGCGTGTGGTAACAGGAATACATCTTGTTGCAACATTATTCATTTCCTATCATTTGTCTTTGCTTGAATAATTTCCAGGCAAAGTCTTCAACAATCAACTATTAAATATTTTTATATTGTTGTTACTGCTAAGAGATTCAGCCAACTATAGCTGAAGCTCAGTGTCCTACTTTTGGCTTTGTTATGGATTCCTGTTAATATCACCTCATCTTTTGTGCGCTTAGCAGAACTGAGAATAAATCATATGGTTATTTAAATATCAATAGGTCAAAATAACACTAAAAGCAGATAAGAAAATGCAGAGGCTACTTTTAAACATTCCTTGCTGTCTTCCAGTTCTGTGGTCCTGATTCATAACTCAACCAATGTTTTCTAGTGCAACAAAGTGTCACTTGCCTACAGTTGAATTTAGTTTTACTTTATACCTTTACTTTGTGTATGTGTGTATCTCTGTGTGTGTTTGTGTGTGTAACACTATCAAAGCATAATAAGAAATCATTTCAGATTAATATTGTTGCTATAGACTATCAGAATAAAACAATATCTTTATTAGAGTTAATTTAATTCCAGATTAAAAGTGCCATTGAATATCATGTGTGACTGTTTAGTCATTACCAAAATTAGTAATAGAAGCAACATTGCAATTCCTGTGGTGTTAAGGCTGCTTCTTTTGTTTTGTTGAATGATGGAAAGTGGGAAAGATAGAATAAGGTACAGGTCAATTTCTAATGGCTTCTAAAGTAGAAGAGTCTATTACAGAGTCGAATACGACACATATATTTTAGAATAGTTTCTTTCATGAAATACGAAGAAAAGAAAACATCACAAGACCTGAAAAACAAAATAGACACATAATCAGAGCTTTTCAGACACACTGAAAACGGGTTGCATGTTTGTATTGATAATAACAAAAAACAGTTTTCAAGAAGGGATACATAGAAAATCACGAGAATAACTACAATCTGATTATCTTTGAAAATAATGATATAATAGTATCCTCAGCAGAACTTACTCACCTATACGCAGTTCCATTTGATGTTGCAAAAACTCAGAATGAGATGAATAACATTCAAAATATTGGGAGTATTACCACATCATATTTTCAATTCTTAATATAAAATTTAAAACTAAAGATTCTGTTGAAGGCTTGAATTTTTTTAGAAATACTTACAAAGCTGTTAAAAGAAGTCTCTTGGTTTCCTTTAAGTGATGCTCAATTTTTGGCTTTGGCTTTAGAAGGGCACTAATGATGTCCATTGGGCAATTTATATTAGTGAATTATGCAAATTAGTTTTCTTCTTTCAATTTCTCTTTCATAAAACATTCAGAGATGGCTTTAACCTTTTTAGTCCATTGCATATAATAAGAAAATACATTCTCCTCTCTACTCTCTACTTTAATACCTATTTCAGAATATACACTGTTACTGACAGTTCTTCCTCAGTATTCATGGATTCTTATTATTGCCACTCATTCATTTTTTTAAATTAAGGACCAATGTGATGTTTCTTCATTTAACAGCAACAATAAAGGCATCTAATAGACAGGGAAAACAAGTCACTGTGTTGCTTGTCTGTACAAACTTTGATTAAAAAGTAGTTTTTATATTCTGTCAATAATGGCACTCTGATTCCTCCTTTTCCAAAAGTTCATGCCTGACACGTTAAGTTAATTTATAAAATACAAGTTCCAACCTCTTTTTAAAATGTAATACCTAATACAAAATCCAATTACAGCTTTCTTTATCCTTAAACTGTAAAGTGATTTTTATACTGAATATAAATTAGTTTTACATATTTCTTGTAACTTATCCCCACCCTCACCCCCTTTTTTGAGAGCTGAAAATTATGATTAGGGATTTGTCAATAGTTCCTTCATTATGTATTGAAAGACAGATTCTATTGCTACAGCTTTTGTGTGCCCATAAAACTAGGTACCATGAAGAAATAATTAGAGTTAAGTTTCTGCCTCTAATTATGTAGATGATCAATGCTTGGCTGATTACTATGAACCTGACAAAAATTGATTCTTAGCACCCATTACTACATGGTCCATGCTACTATGGGGACTTTATCACTGTGGTCACATTACATATGCATAAAAATTTGACACATGGAATATTTTCACTATAAGTGATAAAGTTGCAGATTCTCTTCTGTTTACATTTTCTTTCACTTTTATCTGTTTTTTATATTCACCTTAGACATTTAAAAAAACATTATTATTTACTAAAATTTATTTCACTTTCTATCCCTGATGTAGCCCCCTCCCTCATCTCCTCCCAGTCCTTCTCATCCTCTCTCTTTCCTCTTCTGTCCCTCCCCTAATCCACTGATAGCGGAGGTCCTCCTCCCTTACTATCTGATGCTAGCCTATCAGTTGACTTTTATTCTTATTGGAAGCCATTCCTGTGAAAATTGAGTTTGAATTTAATTGAGATAAGATAAAACTCAGTTTACTATCCCATTTGTGAATAACTAAATAGATATTTCTTCATGAAAAGACTTTCAGAAATGAATTTTCTGTCACTGTATTGGCATGTTCAAGATGATGACACAGATACTTAGCTATTTGTATGTCAGCTAGCTAACTCACAACACTAATTTAATAGTATTATTTATTATAAGAAAGCTCAAAATAAATTCTTTTGTAAGAGTTGCTGTGGCCAGAGAGTCTCTTCACAGCAGAATAGTAACTAAGACACTAGAATGAAACAAAATAACCAGAAAAAAAGAAAAAGAATCAAATAAAAAGAACACAGAAACACATAGATACAGATACATACATGTTCTAACTCACAGAACACTCCCTCCAAAAAAAAACCCTCAAACCCTGAAATCACTCTTCTATCATTTATCTATCTATCTATCTATCTATCTATCTATCTATCTATCTATCTATCTATCTCTACAAGAAGTGTAAAGGTTAAAAAACTGCACTAATAAAGAATTATGACACCAAGAATGCTTTGAGTTTATTTTGTTCTGGACACCTACTGCTGGGCAAGGAGCAGTACTTAACAGTGCTTTGTAGAATCCCCTGCCTGCCAGTTCCACCTGGGGCATAGGCAGCACAGATGAGAGATGCACACTGTCCCCTGAGAACCATCATTTGGTCCATGGCTCTGTCTGCCTTCCTGAGGAAGCTGGCCATTCCCTAGGAACATACAGGTTAGAAGTTCCCTGCTAGCAGTGAACTGTACTTTCTCCACTGAGTTCCATCATCAGGCCTATGGCTCTGCCTGCCCACTCATGGAGGCCTGCAGGTATCAGAAACAGCCAACAACAGGGATAACCAGGTGGCTAAAGGCCAAATTAAGAACACAATCAACAAGAGCCAGGGCAATATGGCCCCACCAGAGCTCAGCTATCCTACTCCAGCAAGCCCCGGATACTCTAACTCATCCAAAGCACAAACAGATTACCTTAAATCCAATCTTACAAAGATGATAGAGACCTTTGAAGATGAAAGGGATAAATACTTTAAGAAATACAGGAAAATATAATCAAATAGGTGAAGGAAATAAGTAAAATTGTTCAAGACTTGAAAGTACAAAGAGAAGCAAAAAAGAAAACACAAAAATGAAGGAATCCTGGAGATGGAAAACCAAGGGAAGAGAGCAAGAACTACAAACACGAACACCACCATCAGAATACAAGAGATGGAAGAAAGAATCTCAGGTGTAGAAGATACAATTGAAGAAACACTACATAGGCCAAATAAAATGTTAAATCTAAAAGTTTCTGACACAAAACATCTAGAAAATCTGGACACTATGAAAATACCAAACCTGAGATTTTAGAAATAAAAGAAGACTCCCAGTTGTAATGACCAGAAAATGTTTTCAACAAAATCATAGTAGAATAATTTCGCAACCTAAGGAAAGAAAATCCTCCCATCATATATTAATCAAAATACTAAATGTACAGATCAAAGAAAGAATATTAAAAGAAAAAAAGCCACATAACATATAAAGACAGACCTATCATAATTACAGCTAACTACTCAACAGAGACTCTAAAAGCCAGAAGGACTGATGCAGATGTCTGCACACTCTGAAACACCACACATGTCAGCCCAGACTACCACATCTAGCAAAACTTTTACTCACAATAGATGGAAAAAACAAGATATTCCAAGAAAAGCCAAATTTAAAAATATCAATTTACAAACCCAACCCTACGGAAGATAATAGAAGAAAATACACCAATCCAAGGATGGTAACTACATTCAAGAAAACACAAGAAATAAATCACTCCACTGCAGCAAGACCAAACACACACACACACACACACACACACACACACACACACACACACCAAATACCAACATCAAAATAACAGAAACTAATAATCAGTAGTCATTAATATCTCTCAACATCAATGGAGTCAATTTCCCAATAAAAGGACACAGGCTTACAGAATGAATGTGAAGAGAGGATCCATCATTCTGTTACACACAATAAACAAACCTCAGTAACAAAGATAGACATTAACAGAGTAAAAGGGTTTCCAAGCAAATGGACCAAAGAAGCAAGCTGGTTTAGCCATTCTAATATTTAAAAAAAATAAACTTTCAGCCAAAATTAATAAAAAGACACCAAGGGTACACTTCATACTTATCAAAGGAAAATTCCACCAAGATTATGTGTCAGTTCTGAATATCTATGTCCCAAATGCAAGGGCATCC